GTCAAACGGGTCTTGATCCGTTACCGATAAAGTACAACCAATTCGGTTTTAGTGACTGTACTTAGGTACGTAGCGGCGCTGAATAGGATCAGTTACGCACTTGCCCAAGATGATCGCTCGACGGGCAGGACTCATTCAGCTGGCGGCGGCCGCCGCGATTGTGGGCAGCGTCGCGCTCCCGAGCATCGACGCGTTCGCCGGCGGCGCCAGCAACGAGAGCCTGGCCAAACAGGTCCAGAATCCCGTCGCCAACATGATCAGCGTGCCGTTCCAGAACAACACCAACCTGAACTATGGGCCTGATCGCGGCGTCCAGAACGTCATGAACTTCCAGCCGGTCGTGCCGTTCAACGTGTCGCCGGAATTCAACGTTATCACCCGCAGCATCTTGCCGATCGTGGCGAACCCCTCCCTCGGTCCGCGCGTGGGCGCCGTCGGCGGCCTGGGCGACCTGCAGTTCACGACCTTCCTGTCGCCGGCCGCGCCTTCGAAGTGGGTGTGGGGCGTCGGCCCCATCATCCAGTTCCCGACCCACACCGCGGCAACGCTCGGCAACGATAATCTCGGCCTGGGGCCCTCGGTCGTGTTGGTCCACCTCTCGTCCGACTCGCCCTGGGTGGTCGGTGCGCTGGTCAACACGCTGTGGTCGCTTTCGACGGCGCCGCAGGCGCCCGCCTACACCAACAGTACCGTCCAGCCGTTCGTCAACTACAACTTCACGGGCGGTTACTACCTGACCTTCTCGCCGATCGTGACGATGGCCTGGAGCGCGCCGGTCAACCAGCAACTGACGCTGCCGCTGGGCGGCGGCGCTGGCACGGTGTTCCGCCTCGGCACCCAGCCGATCAACGCGCAGGTCTCGGGCTACTACAACGTGGTGCGCCCGGACTACGGACCGAATTGGCAGATCCGGGCGCAGATCAGTCTGCTGTTTCCGAAATGACCGGGCGGCGCGCGCGGGGCGTTGCGCGGTCCTCGGGCGGTAAGGCCGACACCTCGGACTACACGCAGAGGACGATGGCCCGCGATCTGAAGAACCTGCGCTACGACCACCGAGTCGACACGTCTCCGGGGCGGCCCACCGCCGACATGACGTCGAAGCTGAAATGATCCTTCGCTTGCCCGGTCGGCAGGCAAGCTCGCCAGGAACCCAAGGAGAAGCCAATGAAGTACTGGAAGAAATCGAGCGCGCTCGGCGCCTTGCTGGGCCTTGTCGTCTCGCTGCCTGGCGGTGCTGGCGCTCAACCAGCCGTTCCGCCCTTTTACCAGGCCGTCGCCGCGATGAAGGCGGAGGGCAAGCTGGGCCAAGTG